GAAGCCTCGGGTTCGGCTTCGGTTCGTTTTGGTCATCGCCATCTTGGATTACGGCCGCCACCATCTTGTTTTTTGCAACAATTGAACAGAAGTGACCATATTTGGACTGTGGAGGAGTGACGTAGAGACCCTTGAGACGGCGTATACGGCTCTGGTGGCGACCTGTCAATCACTGTGTAGCCCCGCCCTAAAGCATCCCCTGCTTTATGGTCTGTTTGACTCTAAATGGACCATAAGTTACTAAATGAACATCATGCTGTATTGAAGAAGACTTGAAACATATACACGTATATAAAAATAGATCAACGGATTTAGCAACAAACGTCAAAGTGAATGCAGTTTTCTGTCCACAGCACATATAAGAAGTGGGTTCTCCCCCATGAGGGTCACTCCTCATACTGTAAATGGAGACAGAAAAGGGTCCCAGGAGTTCCAACATGGACATGGTTTCCAGCGTCATCTTTCTCGGTACCCTGCCCGTAGAACCAGGAGAAAGTATCAGTATGACCTGAGCGTAGAGGAGGTCGAGGCTTTCTGGAGTTCAGGACAAAATAATAAATAAATAAAAACTCCTTCAGCAGCTGACGGCAGAGAGTTCAAAGACTTCAAAGGCAAATGGACAAGAAAAGATATTCAATCTGTGTTTAATAGGATTACCAAGCCGAGGAAATGATTACTTTGAGACATTTTGATGGTGCTGGTGAAGTGTGATCGGGGACGACTGAGACGGGGAAGTTCCAGGAAAAAATAAAATCTTTTTGCGGTGATATTATGTAAATGGCGTTTAATCTGTGACAGATTCTGCCTGCCAATGAGGTCACTGACTATTCATCTGCCAGCTGGCCCGGCACAGAACGGCTCGGCCTGGTGGAGACAGCCACCTACAAGTCGGCCCACCTGGGTTCTTTGCAGAGACTCTTTTTCCCCAGAGTTTTGGTCCAGGTGTCGCTGATTGATTATGAACCGGGAGGATCAGCTGATCTTCATCTGGAGCGATGAAAAGAGGAGAGCGGTGACTAAACGTCGCTCTGCTACTGGAGCGTCGTCACGGATGAAGAGGAGTGTAGAACAGGCTGCGTTTAGATGGAAACGGCTGTTAACATCGCTCTGTCTCCATTGCTGCAGTCGTTACGGCAAATCAGATCCAACTGTATGAATAAATGCAGAATACGTGTGTTACCTGAGTTCTGAGTAAATGCTTCTAGTGGCACCTTTGTTTTCACAGGTTGACCAGCAACTGATGAGACATCTCGTCCTAATATGTAAAATGAGTTAAGTGTCATCACTTAAGCACTCTCCCCCTTTCATTCTCCACACCTCCCCCTTTCATCCTCTATACATCCTCCTTTCTTCTTCTACCTCCTCCTTCCCTCTCTCTACCTCCTGAAATCCTCTCTTTACCTCCCCCTTTCCTATACATTCTCTTCCATATTCTCTCTACCTCCCCCTTTTCCTCCTCATTAAGTCTTCCTCTTTTCCCCCTTTACCTCTCCCTTTCCTCCTATATATACCTTCTCCTCTCCTCCGCCTTCCCTCTTTTACCTCCTCCAGTCCTCCTATACCTCTATATGTTGTTCTCTACCTCATCTTTTCCTCCACCTCTTCTTTCCCTCCACCTCATCTTTTCCCTTCTATACCTCCCCCTTTCCTTCTCTTGCTCCACCTCCTCCTTTCTTCAATATGTTCTCCTCCACCCCCTCTTTTCCATTCACTACCTCCCTCTTTCCTTCTCTATCTTGGTTTGTTAAATCACTGGAATGTCCCTTTAAAGCCAAGAGTGTTTCATAACACACACACACACACACACACACACACACACACACTAGTTGGAGGTGGTCAGGAGGCTCGCTCCACCTGTCGGCTGTCTCGCAGCTCCGCCCCCTGCAGGTTAACGCACTAACACACACCTGATGTCGACTCCACTCCTGTGGGGGGGGGGGTCTGGGAGATCTGCAGCTGTTGTCATGGAGACGGGCTGCGCAGTGATCCTGTGTCTATTATCTACATCATCTGTGGAACATCAGCAACATCTGTCTCAGCAGCTGGATGACGTCATCAGTGGATGCAGGAAGTTAGCTTACAGACGTGTTTCCTCCTTTCACCCGATATCCGCTCCTTTCCTCCTCTTTATCTCCTTCTTTCCTTGTCCTTTAATATCTCCTCTTTTCCTCCTCTATATGCTGTCCTTTCCTCTCTCTGCCACCTCCTTTCCTTCACCACCTCCCTCTTTCTTTCCGACCTCGACCTTCACTCTCCATCACCTCCTTCTTTCGTTCTCTACCAATTTGTTTCCTTCACCACCTCCTCCTTTCCTCCATCCTCTCCATACCTCCTCCTTTACTTCACCACCTCCTCCTTTCCTCCATCCTCTCCATACCTCCTCCTTTACTTCACTACCTCCTCCTTTTCGCCTTGACTTGGGGTGTTCAGCTGCATGCAATCTGCAACCTCACCACTAGATGCCACTGAGTCCTACACACTGCTCCTTTAAATGACAGCATCACAAGTAGAAGTGCTCACTATCCTGGAGCCCCTCAACCTATCCTGATACAATGGTTTGTAGGATATCTTACTGAAAAGTTACTCCTTATTTTCCGTACGTTTTCCTACGAAAGTCCTCGTTTCAATTTCAGCTCATTACAAGTCTTTTCAAAATAAACTTCTGTTTTCACAGGAAACAACTTAGTTGTAACTTTAGGAAGAGATTGTGGTTTGAATTAAAATAAATACAGATGTTCAGTTGATTGAGAAGTCATGAGTCAAGTGAATCAACGTCGACTCAGGCTGGTCTCATCCAGCATTCGTAGCTTCGTACCCCCCTGCGTAGGGGGGGGGGGTGGATGGGTCCACCGCTGTTCCTTCCCCGTGTGATACAAGAAGTCAACGTTGATTTATTCGTCGCGTAACTTGCGTGCTTCAGTAACAGCACCTCCGTATTCATTTAAACCCAAACGACAATCTTTCCCTAAAACTAGTTTTGTTTCCTGTGAAGACGGAAGTTTATTTTGAAAAGCCTGCATGGATGTTAAATATGAAAAACAACTTTTCGTGAGATATCATACAAACCGTTGTGAGTAAACATTGGACGACTTCTCGTTTCTCTTCTGAGCAGAGAGCAGTTTGAGTTTGCACTAATAGTTTGCAGTTAACAGAAGTGTAATCAATGCAGCAGCAGAACACATCTCATTTGTTTAAGTCCACTACTTTGTCCTTGTTCGTACAATACCCACAATGCAACTCGACAGATATATATATATATATACACACACACACATACAGTAGAACTCCCCACCTGTTACCAGACTTAGATGTGTGAAACATGAAAATAGAGTTCCCCTTTAAGGGAACACAGCTGCCTTTGAACAGCTGTGATAAAAATCAGTTAGGAGGCTAATTATTACCTCGACCCGATGAGGCTTTTCACACCAGGAGCTTAAACACGTGTTTATTTTTAATGAGTCATCTTCTGTCGAGTGAGAAGATAATTTAATAAAGACAACTGGATATTGAGGAAATAAGCGCTTTCCCACAATCTACCCATTAGACGGTAATCAGATCCAATCAATGTAACCTCTGATCACAGAGATGATTTCCTCCAGCAGGAGGCTTCATGCCATCACGCCTCATCCCATCTCTGCTAATGAAGCCGTGTGTGTGTGTGTGTGTGTGTGTGTGTGTGAACAGAGCTCGTTGATCCCACAGAGGAGCCACAGCTGCTCTCCGCATAGCGTCTCGTTATTAATCTGAAGCTTTTTAAAAACGCCTTGATCGCAGCCATTCGTCATGATTACGGCTGCTGCTGCCATTTACACTCGAGTTACAGCAGCGTCGCAGGTAAATATGTGGCGGCGAGGAACCAGAGAGCGTGCTGGGCAGGGGAAAATCTAATTTGACAGAACATTTTGTTTCTGTTTTTTCTTTCGTAACATAAAAGGTAACTTCAGAGAAACTGGTGTTTTTCTGTCATCGTGAACTAAAAGTTTGGAAAAGGAAACATGAGGCTCATTGGAGCTCAGACACAAAGGACAATGAGCAGACTTTCTCGCTCTTTTTCCGACCATTGATGGGTTCAGATGAGGCCCTGACCAAGCGCTGGTGAAGACTGATTTCTGGATTCTCCAACTCCGCTATTCCATTTGAACCCCAAAACCTGCCGCTAGGATTGAAAATCACGTTTTATTTAAACAGCTGCCACAACTACACTGTTCATCAAAGCCAGAAGATGTAAAAACCATGATTATCAACAGATTTCCGCCTTTCCGACGGTCCTTGAACACATCATGTGCGACGAACGCTTCGGTCAGAAAAAGCAGCCAAAACAAAGTTGCTTTTTTGTGATTTATGGCATTATAATTGTGTGATTTTTTGAGTTCTCTCTGCTTCTAGTCATGATTGTTCTGTTCTGGGGATACGCCATTGTTAGGCTACGGAGTCTTGATTTGTAAAGATCAACAGAGCATTTGTTTTATGACCCGCCGACTGCTATATTTTGAACCACAAACTTTAGCTTTTGCTCTCTGCTTAAAGCATCTTCATACAATCGGTCTACGAGAAGAGTACACACACACACACACACACACACACACACACACACACACACACACA